CGGGTGACACCGGAGGGAGTAACCAGAACTTTTGATCAATCTAGAAACAGGCAAAGAGAAGCAGCCTTAAAGGCAATATGTTAGACGTCTACTGAGTTAAATGATAAAAATGACCTGACTACATCATCAAACATTGAGGAAACATGCTCCGCCATCGTGTTGCTGATGGTCATATCCAGGCATCGGAATTCATTTTAGACAATCTCCCAACCAGATTAAAAACTCCTCGATGGAACTTCAAACTCCTCACAGTGTTTTTTTTCTGCTCTTTCAAACTATTTGTTTTTTTGTTGCATGGTTTTGTGTTATGATTTGCTGTTCACACATGCACCTCACAGCCTGAGACTTTCACTGTCAGAGCGAGGGGGGGCGGGGTCTCAGGATGCTGGCATGACGTAATAAGAACGATGCAGACATGACAGAGGAAGCCACAGAGTGCGGCACCATCATGACAGTTTTTGAGTTTATCTCAATGCTACTTTTTAATCGTATGTTTTTATAGTATCAACAAATGAGTGAAAAGATCGCACTTGCAAGAAGAAAAAGTTTTAAAGTCGACTCATAACATGTGACAACTATCGCACCGGTCGCTCACCGTGTCCCGGGCCGGCCTGCTTGCTGGCTGTGCATTTTCCTGAACATTTCCTGCTTTGTTCACACATCAGCTCACCCCAACTTTACACAGAAATTGGACAAGGGGGCCGACAAGAAAATGTAATTTCAATTTGAGGTAGAAAAAACGTCCCCCCTTAATTTGAGCGCAAAAAGATTTGAGTGTGTGTCTGTGTGTAAAAACACCAAAAATGTCAATGATGTCAATCAATGATTATACAATTTAAAAAGAAAATCTTTCAGGAGGAAACAGCTGTTCCAAGCTTAATGAATCCTGATTTTTGGTAAATGAGAGGGAGGAGGTTTCCCCCCTCACAGCTTACTGCTATAAATCACCTCCTGCTTAGATCTCCTGACTGGAACATTCTTCACCTTAGACCTCTGTGGGACCCTGAGGTCGTCATCACCAGGGCAACTAAAAAAACGCCCGACGCTCTCTGTCTTAATTAAAAAACATTATTTACAAAGAGAAAATTTCATTTTGTCTACCTCTGACCTCTCTCTTCCTCTTTCTTACCCCCGCCCCCCTTTTCCTGTAAAAGTGAACTGGTGGTGCACGCTGGGAAAAGCCCCACGTCCCCTGAAAGACAAGAGGGTGCTCTTGTGACGCATGGAGCTGAGCCTGTCGTCTCGGCCGAGGTGGTACGTATGTGTGAGTGTGTGTTTTTATAAAGAGGGAGTTTGTGTGTGTGTGTGTGTGTGTGTGTGTGTGTGTGTGTGTGTGTGTGTGTGTGTGTGTGTGTGTGTGTGTGTGTGTAGGGGGGTTAAGCTCTCACACAAGACAAAGCCAAAACCTCGGAGGCTGCTAAGCAACAATGCTGCTGGGTAAAGCCTCATCAGGGCACCGTTTAGCAGAGGATTAGGGACTATTACACACACATAAACACACACTGCAAAAACGTAGCCTCATCACCTCATTAATTCAGACCCCAAAAAACCACTTTAACCCAGGTTTAATGTGTGTGTGTGTGTGTGTGTGTGTGTGTGTGTGTGTGTGTGTGTGTGTGTGTGTGTGTGAGACCTGAAGTTCACTCATTCAACTCTCAATCAACTCGTCCATGTTGACTCTCTCTCTCTCAAAGGAATGACGATGAAGGGCTGACACTGACTTTCCCTCAATTTCCCCTCTCTCTCTCTGTATCTCTCTCAAACACACACACACACACACACACACACACACACAAGTCTATTTCATTTCACCTCACACTTTTTCTGCTTTAAAGGCCAAAGTTGAAAGCAAAACACACGTCAACGAAACACAAATACAGAATGATAAAATAACCTGGAACTCAGTTGCTGAGAGACATTTTCCAGAAACCACAAAATAACACACACATACACACACACACACACACACACACACACACACACACACACACACACACACACACACACACACACACACACACACACACACACACACACACACACACACACACACACACACAGCTCTGTCCAAGCAACCCAGCGCTCATACTCGGGCTGAAACCAGAGTTATCAGCTGTGGAGGCAGTGACCCATTCTCTCATCCTCCCATCCCTTCATCCGGCCCTCTTTCATCTCTCCGTCTTTCATCTGATATCTGTCCAGTAGACAGAGAGAGAGAGAGAGAGAGAGAGAGAGAGGGGATGGAAAATACCACACACAGGAAAAAACAAAATGCAAAAAAATCCCCCCATGTACAGTCACGACAGTCCTTCAACAAGCTGCCTGGGTTCAAATCCGACCTGTGGATCATTTCCTCCAAAATTAAATCTTAAAGAAAAAAGCAATTTCTGCAGAAGTCTGACAGCTACCCCCCCCTGGCAGCAATTTCAGACATTAATTATTACGATAGAGAAAATGTCACTCTTTATGCTGATGGTCTTGTTTGCTTTTAAAGGTCATAAAAAAGGCATTAGTATTCATTTTATCATATTTCATATCCAGGTTAAAACTCCTCAGAGGAGCTTTAATGAACATGAAAGCTCTGGATGTAGTAAGCTCAGATTGACCACTAAGTGATCATGATCATGTTTGTGAATGGAGGAGTAAAGGACTAGACTGCATTAGTTTACCCTCTGTGTACCTATAAACCTGTCTGATGAATAAATGTAAAAATCATTTTGTTTTTGTCTGAAGGATGACGTCACCTCACCACCTGTGTCTGAAATCACTCACTCACCATCACAACACTATACTCCCCTCTGAAACAGACAATAAATAATTCATTCTGTAGTGAGTAATGAATCAAGAATTCAGACGTGTGTTAGTCACCGTCACGTCATCGGTAACAGGTGGAGAGCAAACCCACATCTGTATCTACATCTGTAAAATGCCACACATTACACTAAAGAGCTTTACAGTGTGCACGAGCGGTGCATGAATCATGTGTGTTATGCTCTCATTCTCATCATATCAAAAGAAATATAAGCAAAGCTACAAGTTTAAGTCAATATAAAAGAACCAGACCGACAACTGATCACCGATCACAGCTGCAACACTCGTCAATGCATCCTGTATGATAAAGTTGTTTAGCCTTCATCAACAGCTAGACGTGACAGATATTGTTTATACTTTTTATTTATAGCCCAGAAGTCATTTGTTCCTCATGTTAAACTGTTTTTAAACCTAACAGCACAAGAGAGTCAGGGTCAAAACCCTGGTCTCTGGTCAAAAAGTTCCTCATTTAAATAGAGAAATAAAAAAATACAATTCAAAAAGAAATTGTGTTTTTCACAGTAAACTGCATAAAAAAGTTGAGTACTGAAAACTACACACACACACACACACACACACACACACACACACACACACACACACTTTCCAAGCCCTAACACAGTGAAAACATAATTTTTATAATAGCAGGTTGAGCAAGTGTTCATTTATAGAAGCACTGTTGCAAAAACTTGAGTCGGTCCAGTTCGCACACATACCTTCTGACCTCTAAAAAAAGAAACTTAACAAGATCCACTTCAGAGGTTCTCAAGAGCCTCTTGTTTTGATTTCCAAAAAAAAAAAAAACACTGTAAGAGGGGGTGAAGAAGTGGGCGTAAGATTTAATTTTGAACAAACAGAATACTGTTGGCTCCGCCCTCTGCGTCTGTGTTTGTCCTGAATGACTTCCATTCGTCTGAGAAATGTGCAGCTAGCTTTTAAGTTTAAGATTTAACTGAGAAAAATGATCATGGAAGCTGCTCTCCTGGATGAAGAATGACCCAGGATCGTCTGCTAAACACATTCACCTCCAGACACACACACACACACACACACACTGTGACACACACACACACACGCAGTGAGAGCGGCAGAGGCTGCTTGTCTGCGACAGCTGAGCACAGAGCTGTGCATTGGAGCTGTATTTTTACCTCGGCCCACACGCTGAGCAATATGCCAACTCCTGCATGGCCTTGAGAAACTCCAACACACAAACACACACACACACACACACACACATACACATACCCGTACACAACACAGGTCAAACCCAGCCAGCCACCGTAGCGCCCGCGGAACATAAACAACTTTCACGCACTCTCTGAATCATCTGAGCATTTCATTATTGTTCTAGATAAATATATTCAACCGCTGCATATAAATAACAAGCAACCATAATTATTCCCCGGGACCCACAAACGACCGTGACGGGATGTGAGTTCCCACAGTTTTTCAGGAGCGTATAGCAGACCCAGCCCTTTCCCAGTCCTGGAAATCCACGGCTCGGCTTACAGAGCAGACGAGACCGAAAAGGGGTTGGAAGGTGCCTGACGACAACAAACTGCGGTTTTTGGGACGCAAAAGTGGAACGTTTATGTTCTGTGACTGAGGCTATTTTCTGCCTGTGAAACACAAAACGTCAGAGGAGAAACCTGTTTCTCTGTTTCACCGGCTTATACCTCCACTTTTTGGTTCTCACTCGCTTTTTACTTTCTATTCTCTCACACACACACACGTACACACACACACACACACCTCTCCCAGTGGGCAGCAGCTGTTGGAGTGCTAATCTCCATTAGCTACTGAACTGGCTTTCATGTAGAGGGCCGTGTAAAAAAAATCTGTTCTCTCACTCTCCCATCCAAGGAAAACACCACGGCTGCATCACCGAGACAACCAGACTTTTTTTTTTTTTCTTCCTCTTCTTCTTTTCAACGTCTGCTGCAACATATTTCACCGTGTCATTTTAAGTCATAGTTAATATCCTGTACAAGCTTTTTTTCTTGTTCTGGTGGGGAACACACAAACACACCACCGCCACACACACCCACCCCACCAGTCCATCTGAAGGATCTCGCTCCAAAAAAAACCACACACACAGGAACAAAAAAGAACAATATTTAAGTTAACAATGCGGAGCAAGTGAGTGATGTAAAGGGGGAGAAAAAAAATAATTAAAAAACAGGACTTACAGTCTGTAGAGCTTCGTCGTTCCCAGGAAAAGCAGCTCGGGGAAGACGGCCAGATTATTCCGATTCAGGCGCCTGGAAAAACACGGCATAAATTAGGGAATAAACTCGACGTAGCCTCCTTCCAGACAGTGTGGGTGAAGCGGTTACATGTGTGTGTAATTAGTTTTTATAAAGTGAGAGTCCTGTATCCTGTTAATCATATCACATTATGTGATGGTGTTTTTATTGTAATGCGAGTCTGTGCAGCGAGAGGAAGTATGAAAGAATAAGCAGATTGATGGAGACACTTTTTCTAGACTCACAAAAAACACACAGACTCCGTGTTAGCCCCTGATTTAAGGGGTACAATATGGCTGCCAGACAAACAGTGGACTCTAGAAGGATGATGGGAAGGCAGAGGAGAGGGAGGACGGGAGGGGGGTGAGGGATGGGGGGGGTTCAGATGAGATGAAGGGGAGAGGGGAGAGAGGAGAGAGAGGGGGAGCTTTTTTTTTTTTTTTTTTACCACAAAGGAGGAGGAGAGGAGATGATGTGGGAAAAACAAACAGGCAGTCTGGCCGGACTACCGAATGTGTGAAAAGGACCCCATAGAGTAAACAAGGCCCTCACAGGGGAAGAACTCACAACAACCCGTCATCACACACACACACACACACACACACACACACACACACACACAGAGGAGTTGAGAGAACTCGGCTGAGTTTAATAATCTGGGTGCGATCATTTAACCCTGGTTGAGTGGATTGAAGAGGTTTGTGTGCCTGTGTGTGTAGCTGTGTGTGTGTGTGTGTGTGTATGTGTGTGTGTGTGAGAGAGAGTGAGGCAGCTGAGTGACACAATGAGAGACAGGCTGCTGAAACAGTTTAACCCTGACACACACACACACACACACACACACACACACACACACACACACACACATTGACTGGCCAAGCGACGGATGCTGTGCTGGCTGCAAATAGAAAAACAAGAGAGGAAGAAAGTGAAAGAATGCACGGCCAAAAAATCTGAGCAAGTGTGTTTTCTCTCTTTGCGGGGCGCCCTGATATCCTAGCGGTTATGTTGCATCTCATGTACGGAGGCCACCGTCCTCGGGTTCAACCTGCGTCTCTTTCCCCGCTCTCTCATAACAGTTTCCAACTCCATACTGCACTATCGATGTTTGACTCAGAGCAATGTTTTGACAGCCAAGTGACCCAAAAGTGATGCAGTCCTGCTTCGATCAACTGAGAGATCTAACCCAAATCAGAACACTCCTTTCTCCTGGTGATATAGAAAAGGTCATCCATGCATTTATGTCTTCCGGACTTCACTATTTTAATGCCCTTTATTGTATCATTAACATTAACAATCCAAAGCTTATTGCAGTTTATTTAAAATGCTGGCGCGGTGTTTTAACACATACCAAGAGAAGTGACCACATTACACCTGCCCTTGCTTCCCTCGACTGGACGCCTCTGAGTTTTAGAATTGATTTTATTACTTGTTTTTGAAGCCCTGACCGCTGCCTGAGCTCCTGCAGCACGGCCTACAAGTGGTTCTGAAAACTCGACTGGTTACAAAAGGTGACCGAGCCGAGCCTTGGCAGTTCATCTCCCTGCCTGGAGATGACAGGCAGGCAAAGTCAGTGTATCGCTTCTTCTTCTTCATCTTCTTCTTGTTATTATTGTAGCCCACTTTTACCTGACAAGTCCAGATAAACATCGTATGTCAAGATGTGAAAAGCAAAAATGCAAGGCCTCGATTGCTTGTAACGAATACAAATATCTGCCAATGCTGCGCTCACATTTTAGTACTTTATTAATCCCTGAGGGAAATTCTGGTTTTACACTCTTTTACATTCTTCTCACACACAAAACATGTATTAGTGGAGAAATGTCAGAGTAGGGCTGCTACACAGGGAGCGCAACAGAGCGGTCGGGGGTTCAGTGCCTTGGTCAAGGGCGCCTTGGCAGTGATCAAGAAGTGCCCTGGCGCCTCTCCGGCTACCAGACCAACTTCCATATTATGGTCCGCATCGAGACTGGCGACCCTCTGGTTCCAAACCCAAGTCCCTACAGACTGAGCTACTGCCGCCCGCTGTGTCTTGAAATAACACATAAAAAGCAAGAATAAGACTGAATAGTTCAATGAAATCGAACTCAAACTCTTCAGCACATTAATACCAGACCGTATTAAAGTGTCACTAATTCCTTTCCAAAACTCCCTCTTTAAGTCTCTCAATGACTTTTTCCTCTAACACCTCATCTATCACATCCCTCTGCTTCACTATAACTCGCTGTGGACTCTCCTTTAATGACGTCACCCCCTCTCCGCTCAGGAGCACGAATAAATGACCGTGCTCGCACACACACGCACACATTCACACCCCCCCCCCCCCCACCACCCGTTACATCAGAGGCCGCTTAAATATTTAACATCCCGCAGAAATGATGTTTCTAAATTATTCACTCCTCTTCCGTTAGCGCCCAGGCTCTGGCGGCTAAGAGCCCCACGTGGTCCCGCGGAGGGGCCCGCTTCCCTCCTGCAGGTCCTGCCCAGCCATGAGCGCCCGTTAGTGGGCTAGACCTCCCCTGGGTGAGTGCAGAGGCTGGTGGTTGGAGGAAGGAGGACAGAGAGGGGGTATGAGCTCATCTGCTTTAAATAGGTGCAATGCTGTCAGACTAGGAGAGTAAAGTCGAGACCAAAACCCGTCTGGTTCCTCTCAGGTGTTGTGCTCTTCATTCACTTCATCATTTTGCTCATAAAGCGAGGGACTGTCTGATTACTCAACATCAATGTGAACACGTTACCCGACATATAATGTCTATTTAAGGGTCAGAAATATATGACACAGGAACACTTCTGAATGAGTCTTGACTCTGATGATTTTTATTTCTGCCTTCAACTTGTGCATCTCGAGGGACACGGATTAAAAACCCAATACACATGTTTCATTTTATCTTCCTTGAGGGATGACAAAACAGAATTTATGTTACAAAAAGTCTGCAAATGATACAGCTGAGGCGCTCCGAGTCAGATGAAGTCACTCCTCAGCAACTTGACTTTGAATAACTGCTAAAAGCCAAATATAAAAAAAACATTCAGAGTGCAGGAAACATCTTCAAATCACCTGATGTGATGGGAAAAAAAGTCCAAAACGGAAGCAGATGTAATTCCATTCTCAGATTTCAGACAGTTTATTTTCTCTACAAATGTTTCATATTTATATTCTGTTTTCACTCTTCCTGTGCATACATCCGCAAAAGGCAATATATGCCAACTTTAAAGTCTCACTTTCACCATTAATGATGTCGGTCTGGGACAACTATTGAGAAGCGTTGTGAGGTGTGTAGCTAAAAATCCTCCTTATGTATATGACACTGGCGTCAGTAAAATCCCTCGTTTCAGCGTCTGCCTGAAACACTTCATGTCAGCTGCTGTCTCTTTAAGGCCCGCCTCCCCACATGCTCACTTTCCTCCAATTGGCCAGCTCTGTTTGCAGTCGCAGGGACATTTGAGTTAGCTTCCAGGTGGGCGTGTCCTTGAAAGAGCTGCCGGGGTGGGTGTGTCCTTCCACTCCGCTCCACGCTTTGAGTTAACCAGAACCTGACGTCATGGTCTGGTTAAGTCTCACAAATTCTCTTGACGTCTCGTACAGAGCAGAAGGAAATCACGTCCGGGGAGTCCAACAATTTGTTTTTTGTTTATTGTTAGTTATTTGTGACCTCTCAACTCCACCCTCAGTCACAATGTAAGCTACTAACAGCTTCCCTTTCAGTCTCTAATGATGCAAATCCTTTTTTTTTTTTTTCAATGCAGTTCAAAGATTCGCTGCACAAATGTACTGAGTCCCTTAAAAAGCACTCACAGCCTCAGACTAAAAATTGTGAAGTCGTCTGTCGTGGTTTAGCGGTTTGGACCGGGAGGAATGCACTGAAACACTTCCACAGTCGAGTCACATTAGTCAGAGTTTTGGCTGGTGGAAGACTGAAGACGGAGCAGCCTGTATAGTCTGAGGTGTGAGAAGTCTCTCCAACGAGCTAATGTCACACTGCAGCCGGGTGATAATCCCTGCAGTCATAAACAGATGCTAAAGGCCCACAAACCACACAGTCATCACACACACACACACACAACACACACTCCCACAGAAGCCTACAGAGTGCCAAATCTTTATAGATACTCAAATACATACCGACCAAAAAAAGGCAGAAACAAAAAGTCTACAAAAGTTCAACATAGCCAGCCTGTGAAATGCTGTAAATACATTTGTCCCTCACAGTGTGAAGTCCTTCCTATTAGACGGGAGGATTAAGGGTCTCAGGAGGTAAGACATGACAAAAAAATAGGCTGCATTCGTAATGTTTGGAAGATATCCAAGATGGTGGCTGAAGCAGAGTCTGATTTTATCAGTGCTACATGTTGCTGGGCATAAACACAGCTATGGGCAGAAAAGAGTATGAAGCTTCTTTATTGCACCGATCACGAGACGGTCGCATGATGTAGACGTCATTCAACCCTCTTCCCTCCAGCGCCTGCGGAGAATTTTCCTGACTTTCACCTGCTGCATTCATCAGCTCACCCCGACTTAATGTAGGAGTTTAACTAGGGGGGCTGGGAGGAAAACGTCTACGTGAAAAGTTCTGCCATTTGTGTTCGCTAATGCAGCTTAATCACAGAATTTTCTGTAGTTTTGTGCATGTGTGAAAACACCACAAGATTGGTTCATTCTTAGTCGACCTTTTCCCTTAAACCTGCTTTTAGATCTTGTTTAATGCTTTGGTTCTTAACTCTGATTTTACCTTTGACTATTGCTATTGTTTTTATGGTTTTATTGAAATTGTAGCACTTTGAGATTTTCATTAAATGTAAAGTGCGTTGTAAATAAAATGTATTATTATCATTAGTAGTAGTACTACAGGCTTACACACTCAGGCTGCAGAAGGAATTATTAAACCAGAGAAACATTTCACTCAAAAAATGTGCACACACTCTTGGTGTTTTCACACTTTTTAACAACTATAGTTTCCTGGTTAACTGCATGTTTGAATGCAAACAGCAGAATTGTTCCCCCCAAGTTTAACCAGATTATTTCCCCCAGACTACAAGAAAAATTCAGGAACGAGCCGGAGGGTTTGTCAAACTACACATTGCATTTATAAAAAGGCTAAAGTTGTGTCATCTTCTGTTGCTTCTTCCACTACTTCTGCATCAATCTTTTCACGACCCTTCATGAGACCCCTCCCCCCTCCTGTCCGACAGGTCTCCAGCTGTGAGGTGCATGTGTGAACAAGCAACTCAGGAAGATTTTCGGCAGACTTAAATCTTAAAGTGCACAAGTGAAAACCTTTTTAAACTCCTTGTTTGTTGTTCAAGCACTTGTGCACGCCCTCGAGTGTATATGTGTTCAGTCAGAGACAAGTCGTCTGCCCTAAACCACGGCCAGGCAGAATCCTGTCTGCTCACCAGATGCTTCAAATCCTTTCCCATCGCCCAAAAAAATCCCCTAGAGTCCAAACTTTTAGGAAACCTTTCTCTGAACTTTGAGCATTTCTCCTTCTTACTGCTGTTTACCAACAAGTATAACAAAATGTCAACTGCTGCACAGACAGGCAGGCGGGGGGGCGGGGGGGGGCAGGAAAATCCATCACGAGTTACATTGAGACGCGGCCGCTGTTGTGGAAATGGCTTTTTTGTGTGTGTCTACACACAGTGCAGACAATTTCAAGCTCTGCTGCTCAATAAAAACGGCCACACACACAAAAAACAACAACTTTGCCCTCAAATGATCAGCGAGAACAATGTTATCACTCGGAGGCTTTAGAGCTAATCATTCAGCACTAATCCAGTGCTTTTTCTTTGAAATCCATATCCAACCAGGTGGGATCTCCACTACAATTATCTTCAGCTATTCAGACTTTCCAGAGCAGAATCACTTAGCTTGAAGTTTAATTATCTAGTTTGTACTCACTCGCTGATAGACAATCTCCCTACCTGTAATCAGTTGGACTGTTATTCATCCCTGTTAGGATTCTCTTTGACAATGTGATCACTCAATTACAGGCTAATTATGTGAGGCTTTATCCCACCGCTGCTCTCGGAAATCATCGCCTCAGTGCCTGTAATTACTGTTTTGTTTTCTCTCTGCATATCTGCGGCTGTTATCGCCTTCAATCTCGCACCCTTTGAGTCGGACAGCGGGCTGTAAAGCAGTCAGATGTGAGAGGAGGATAAGAGGATCAGGAACTCCTCTTTTTTCCTTTTTCTGCCTCCACGGGGAGAGAGTGAAGAATGTATGACATTCCTATACGCTCGGGACAATAGAGAGAGAGAGAGAGAGTGAGAGAACGAGATGGGTGGGTACAGTGGAAAAACATGAGGTTAAAGAATGAATGAGACGAGAAGGTGTGAGTGGGTGTAGAAGAGTGTGTGTGTGTGTGGGGGGGGAATTAAGATAGAACCAGGACTGACGGAGCAGCCTTGCGTGAGTTAATGCGCATGCATGACTGTATCCTTAGCGAGGGAGGGGTGTGTTTGCGTGCGTGCATGCACGTGTGTGTTATGACATGCCGATCTCCTCCACACCTCCTTGAGCCCCTCCTCCGTACCCCCCCCCAGCTACTGCCCCACACCTGACCCCACCCTGCCCAGCCCTGAAGGGCATGTCGCAAAAAAAAAAAACATGAGAAGAGGAACCGTCCCCGTCCCCTCCCCCGTGGGGGGCAGTCACTGTGGATCACTCAGCCCGGCTTAGGGCCCTCTCCTCTGGGCAGCAGTGCCCAGCAGGCTCCCCTCCAGCCCCCCAAGAGCATGGGGGCCTTTGAAACGAGCCCCTACAAACTCCAGAGTCTGGAGATGTGCCTTTGTCCGGCAGCGGCAGGGGGGCATTGATGACTGACTCCATCTTTGTGTTTGTGAACATGCCGCGCTGACGACGCCGAAAATACAGTTGAAAATCGGCAGTGAGGACAACAGAAAAAAACCAGCCATGTTGTGTCAGAAAGTAAGCTGCTGTCAAAGATGTTTGTTTCCTTCAGAGTCGACACAAAGTGAGCCGGCGTGGTTTTGACGGTAGACATCAAAGGACTTCATCTGCTCTGGCTGTTCACAGGCGTCACTATAGATTACAATAACCAGAAGGTGTCTCTTTGTGCAGAGCGTAATGACTATCAAAGTCTACTGTTCAATATTGCTCTGTGTGTCTGAACATCCTTGAAGTAATTCCCAGATCTGCTTAGCTGGACAGAAACCAAGCATTGGTCTGCATTAAAATCGTGAGCAGATTCCCTTTCATGGAGCTTCTCTCTCGGTCAATAAAAAGAAGCCAAAATGCAGCAGAGAGGAATAAACAGGCACAACACAGCTGAGACTAGAGCAGCGGAAGGAATCAGGGTTTATCTTTTTTATTCCCTGAAAGAATTGATCCAAAACAGCCATGAAAAAGTTTACCTTCAATTCAATTTGCACTGTATGGTTGTACATCTAGCTTTGTGTAGCTCTATGTATAAGCAGGTTTGTCAGGCGTGTTTTTGCAGCGAGGGTTTTTATGCGTCTTTAATAAAAAAAAAGCTTGTCACATTTTGCTAAATTCCAGAATCTTATTTTCTTGTATGTTTGGGTAGATCACACATCAAGCAAAGTTGACAGTCCACACAATGGACATATCAGCAGTCAGAGGTCCACGTCTCCCTTCTGTCTCTCTCTCTCTCGCTCTCTCTCTCTCTCTCTCTCTGTCACACACACTACCGAGACTTAATTATACCATAACTGCCTCAGGGTCGGATGCTGAATGCCAGTGATTCCAGGCCAACGCCGTAACAACCTCAGGCTGTTGCTCAGTCGCTGCCATGTGACGCATTCTCCAGATTTTCCCCCTCGGACCGAGACGCTGGCAGCCGCATACCATGACAATCAGGTTAAACATTTATGAATTGTATAGGTTTCCGGACAGTTTGATGCATATAAACATGTGTTGCATCTTATCTTAAAGGCCTTCAATCTCAACGTCTCGACCTTGTTAGCCAACTGTAAGAGAGCCACTCACTTCAAGCCACGTATTTTATCGATTTCTGGCTGCTCAAAACAAGTCGTAAAATAAAACACTTTTCTGATCCCAAAAAAAGTCCTAGATTAATCTCTGAGCAGGCTGCGAACTCCAGTGTTGCAAAATGAAGCAAATGTGGAAATGCAAGAAACTGCAGTTCTTTAAGTGTCCACTTGAGGCAGGCTGCAAAAGCCAAGGAATCCCCATTTACACCCATATTAAAATGCCCATTTTACAGCAGAAAGAAACACCTTACAGCCAGGTTCAAAAAACAGATTTTGGTTCAATAACTCATTTCCCCATTGGTTAAAACTGTATCTGGGGTGACCTTTATAATTTAGCCTAAGAGTTAGCTAAATATTTACATAATTGGGGTTGCGGCAGAGTTGGCAGACGGATGCGTTGTTGCTGTTTGCCAGGAGACAAAGACCCTCCTCTTTGCCGATCTCTAAATTGATCAAAAGTTAGATTGAGATAGCATTTACAAATGGTGACCTCCATTGTTTGGCTTCAAAAATTCCTCAGAAACCAAAGTGTGACATCACTAAGAGAACGTCCATGTTTCATCGTCACAGATTGCCACTGTCTTCCCCCATTTCTCTCTCTGCTACTAAACCTCTATGGCCTGATGTCTGCGCCCCATTATTCCACCTCCATGTGCAACACATTGCCCTTCAACTGGCAATCTGTGAGCGCCAACAGACTGACACCTAGACCTCATTAACCCCATCTCACACTGGCAATAACCTGAAAAGATCAGGATTTTAGGACTGATCTGATGATAACGTTTGACCAGGCTAGCCTCCATGACATTTAAGCTTGACCTTTCATTTGTTGCCTATCTGTCTGCTGGTTTGCCAACTAGGTCAACGTGAATACTTATGCATTTTAAGGTCCTGAAACATAGGCATACCCAGCAGATACTGAATATAACTCAGTTTTGAAAAGAAAAAGAAAAGAACGGCAGCAGCTTGAATCCTAAAATGTTACTCACAGTCTCTCCAGCTCCTTCAGGTCCTGGAAGGCTCCTCTCTCAATGGTGCTGATTTTGTTCTCCATTAGCTGCCTAGAGGAGAAGCACCAGGACAGAGTGAGACAATAAGAAACTGGACAGAACAAAAAAAGCGTAATGATAGAGAGACTCAGAGTGTGAGAGCTGACACTGTTAGAAGCCAGAGAAAAGGATAAAGATGGCTAGAAGGGGCCACAAATAAGAGGAAGTGGAGGGATGAAGGTGAAGGAGAGTGGGACAGAGCACGAGAGAGGCAGAGAGAGATAAGACGCTGGAGAGAATGGGCAGGGAGAGATGGGGATGAAAGATGGCAGAGGGTGTGAAAGTAAAAGAAATAAAACAGATTGGTGCAGATGAAAGTGATGGGATGTTCAAACAGCAGAGAGAGAAAGAGAGAGAGAGAGAGAGAGAGAAAGAGAGGGGGGACAATCAGCGGCGGGTCGATGGAGTCCCAGAATTGACTCTAAAACGGGCCCATCAGTCGGACAGCGGCTCATCTATCATCCAATTTACCCTCCATCTAACCACATAGCTGTGACTACTCATTCACTTACACTGGCACGACTCCCACAGGAGCACTGTGCTGACCAAGCCCACATCAGCCTCACACACACACACACACACACACACACACACACACACACCAACACAACTTAATCTTTGCTGCATGGACAACATGCATTATAAGATAGAACATGCCGGTGCGCTGCTATTCATGACATGCTTTCTTTACATTGTTAGTTTCTTAATCTATCATATCAGTGTCAGAAAATGGAGAAAAACAGATCTCCAAGCCTCAAAAGCGGCCATACTTACTGCTTGTTTTGAGAACAAACAAAGTATGACAAAGGACAAAGGAACATCTGCATGCATGTCCGTCCATTTTATCAACAACCATTTATTCAGTGGACATGCCATTGGCAGGTGCTAAACACCCAAGTGTTGAATTCTGGGGTTATTGGGCGCGATGGTAGCATTATTCTCTTGGGCCATTACCACTTTTACTACAAGTAAGAAAACAAATTCATCTTTTCGAGTATTGCCACTTGTCAAAAATTCAAGATTGGGTCCTGATCTTCTTTATTTTCGTTCATTCCCTCGGCCATCAGGCTCTTAAATCTTGATAGAATGAATATGTCCTGGTATGCATGTCTTGTTTAACGATAAAGTGGTTTATTCCTGTGACTTCCGCTCCAGAGGCCTGTACGCACATTCCTTGAATGTAGTCTCTACAATGTGACCGCGGTGCATCCTTGAATGTCTTGGTTATGTATTTATTGACCTGTTTATTACTGTTATCCTTAAAGTCAGCTTCTCATCTGATTCTCTGTAAATGTATGCATGGTCTGGGTGGACTCACTGTTGAACCCCTGGGATGAATAAAGTTGTCTAAGTCTAACTTTTATGCAATTGTCACCAAATTTGGTATAAAACATTTTTGGACAATGCTCTTTAGTTTAAGAACAGTTGGCTCACAAGGTTAGCTCAAATGTTACTGCCAGGCCCGTAACAGGAAAGGTTATATCTCCTGATTGCTTTGAGTTATTACATCAACATTTGGTGTATATTTGTAGATATGATGTCTGAGTGACCATGACACAGTTGGTACCATTTGAATGAAAAGTGGCGCCATGGGCCAACAGTTTCTTTTTATGAAGAGATTCTGCTGAAGTTTGGTTTTCATACATAAAAGCATGCAGCCCCAAAGTACTTCACAGGTGAACGACAGATGGGAGATAAAACCAGAAAATGACAACAACAGGTAAAATTAGGAAAGAGTATAACAAGAAAGAAGACAGGAATAGGAATGTTAGGAACAAAATGAAACTAAAAAGAAATAAAAGTGAGTATAGTCAATCTCTATAAAACATCTGGAAGTCAATGAAATACATTAAAATCAGAGAACGTTGGATAAAAAGAAAGAAATACTAACGATAAGCCTACTGTATGTAAAACACTGATGAAAAAGTAATCTCCATCATTCAGTACGTCTGCTTGTACGACCTCATCATTTCTTTACAACCAGTCATGCCATTGACGTCACGCTTGGCTGATGTATTGATAACAACCCAAAGAAGCCCAGTGTCCAGTAAGAAGTCTTTTGGATGAGCACGTCTTGAGAAGGCTTCTGCAGACCAAACGGTTGGCTTGTTAGTACTACAAAAGATTAGCACATATATTTACACATCTGGGTTTTTTCTTTTGAGAAATCCCAAATTTGGCTGAAGAAATAATAAAAACATACATGGAGCAGTACAGGAACTTACCAATAATAATGTTTTCTGGACTAACTAATGGACTTATTGATGCAGCTTTAGATGCAATCCAGACGTTTAAGATTGTGTAACTGCATGCAGGTAGACATGAACACACACACACACACACACACACACACACACACACACACACACACACACACACACACACACACAGGAATTAAGGGCATAATCTCTGGAGGAATTTCAACAATGTGTATTCCCTGCCATTCACTTTTAGCAGTTGAATGGCACACACAGTCACACCCCCCACACAAACACACACAGACAAGCACACACACACACACCCCCCCACACACACACACACACATACACAGACACACAATAGGAGCATGCAACCCCTGTACCACTCTTAACCTGGATCCATCCCAGGTAAAGAAAAAAAAAAGAAAACCTGTTCTTACTTGACTCTTTCCTTTCCTTTCCTTGCACCCTCCCTCCCTTCCAGCTGCATTCCTCCCTCCGCGGTTACACCTAATGACCGCTATCTCTTTCCCCGTGTGCCCGCTGGTTAAAATAAGCCCCTCCTGACACTTCCACTGGCAGATTAACACGACAGCATTAACAGGTGCCGCTTCTAGTCTGCGCAGACAAACACACACACAACGCCAGCTTCCCACGACTCTACAGACGCAGTGCTGCATGCGGCAGCTCCACGGAGCGTGATGCTCCACAGAGCAGGGAAACAGTTAAACCATGCATGTTGTTGGTGTTTTAGGGGAAAAGTTGTGGAAATTGAAGGCTGTTGCTTCTAGTCAGAGTCGTGAATGAGAGATGATGTGCTTCTGCCTCTGCAAAGCCAAAAAGGGGGGAAAAGAAAGAAAAGAAAGAAAGGGAAAAAATTTAAAACCACTTACAACACTCGCAGATGTCGCAGTCCTGCAAAATCCGCCTTGGTGATTTTGGTGAGGTTGTTTGCATTCAGATCCCTGCAGAGAAAAATTGAGCAAAAATAAAGATTATCTGTAGCCTATAAAGGAGATTTATGTTAAAACAAGGACGAGGCAGGTGAGCAGAAATGGTTCTTGAAATGTTTGAACTTGATGCTGTGGCAGACGCAGATTTGTCATCTGAGCTGTGGTGGCACATTTTAATTTCATCAGTAAGGGGTCTCTGACTCGTAAAAATGTGGCCTGTTTAACCGAAAAGCCCACTTGTCCAAATCCGTTTTTGATTAACTTGCTGGTCTCCAGACAAACCGATGTGGTCTACGGAGGCTGTGCTAATGCAACAGTGCGAAACCACCAACACAACCACAGCATGCCCCCCCCCCCCCCCCAACTTCAGCTCCGCGAGCAGAAAGACAATCCCCACTCTCTGATTAAAGCAATGAGACAGCTTTTTTTTAATGACAATATATTTAAAAATAAAATGATGATTGGCATTTTGCAGCATTTACAGATGAAGGTGGAGTTTCTGACACGTTGTCAAAATGTAGAGCCCTGCGCAAAAAAAAAAACATGTAGGCTATAGTCCCCAAGGAGAGAAAAAGAACTCCAATACTCTGTCAACATGCAGTTTAGAAAACAGAATACTCAAGTCTAACACATAGACTATTAGTTAAAGATTATCATTGGATAATTCAGACTTGTTTGCAATACATTTTAGGGTTTTAAAGGAAGGGAAGTGGGGACATATTGTCGTAAACTCTTTAAACCCCCTCCTCAAGGGAAGCACAGATTTCAGTGTTCGATTCGAGCAGCAGGCAGTGCACACTTGTTAAGCAGAAATCGATCATATTCCGGGATTTTCCCCTCTGAACTGTGGCCACATGTTGGGGATTTGCTGTGCGCATTTTAAACTGTTGAAGGTACTCACAGTCTCTCCGCGTTGCGGGGTATATTCCTGGGCACGCTGCGGAGCCCTTGGCCGTGACAATCCACCGTGGTCCCGGTGCAGGAGCACTGCGCTGGGCAGGGCTGGCCGTCCGCTCCGCCGGACAGGAGGAGGACCAGGGCCAAAACAGCCACCAGCAGCAGCCCCGGCGCGGACACCGAGGAGCGGCTAGCGGGGCTCACGGCTCCCACCATCACTGCGGCAAGTGGGGGGCCAAATGAAAACAAGTAAATCTATCAGGGACGTCAAAGATTAGAGCCCTGAAATCCCCCGAAAGAGCTCACCAAAACTCTTAACAACAACGGGACGCCGTGCTCCTTCGCGTTGTCCTCCCTCCGCAGGCGTATGTTTTTTTTGTTTTTTTTAATTTCTCGCTCTGATTTTTACATTTGGGGTCTTCTCAGAGGGGGTTTCGGTGTGTTAAGGGGTTGTGAAGTGGTAATGTTGCCCCCCCCCGGGCAGGGAGAGGGGAGCTCGGTGAGGCGGTGGACCGGCTCTCTGGCTGCGCTACAGCGGCGCAAACTTCCACATGTCCCCGGCATGCGGTGCCCAAATCCCCCCGGCGTGTTTTGCGTTTGGCTTTGCTTCAGCTCACGCACTCACTCAGTTAAGACAGACACCTCGATCCTTGATGTGATCCCAGGAAAACACTCTTACAAACACTTCACACACGCACACACTCCAGGTGAGGCTGTCTGGGTTATTAATTCTCAACACGCGTCCGGAGAGGGAGCAGCGGCAGCGCTCGGTTCTCCCCAAAAAAAAAAAAAAAAAAAAAAAGAAGCTCAGTAGAGGTCACCGTGGAGGAGAAATATTGATCCCGATCATGAATCGATTGCCGGTCAGTGGCATGGGTGTATGCAGCGTGAGAGGGGGGAAGAAAAGCCCCGTGAAAGACCAGCGCGCAATACTATAATCCAACTGAGCGTGGTGCGTCAAAGCGCTGCTCCCGAGAGTGTGTGAGAGAGAGCGGAGAGAGAGAGAGAGAGAGAGAGAGAGAGACCGGAGCGGGCACGTCTGCTACTGCGTCTGTCCAGACAACTCTCTCGCTCTCTCTCTCTCCCACACACAACTACACGCACGCACACAGACGCGCACACACGCTGTGTTTTCCCTCAGCAGCAGGTTTCCAGCAGGCTGTCCGTCAAACAAGCAACAGTTGACCTCGGAAGGAGACTTTTCTTTTCTGCTGCAGTGTCCCCGGTCACCTGATGCATCAGAGAGGAGACGTGGGCAGAGAAAAAAAAAAAAACCCTTTCACAGCTGGTTAAAGCTTTAAAGAAACATTGAACCTGTCCCATGATGGACACACAGGTTAAGACTTCTACAGCTTTCACATCGAGGGAAACTGTAATGGATATGACAAATCAAGTTAAGTTAATCTAATCATTTTAAGATCTTTCAGTCTCAATCACAGCAGCTGTGGGCCATATGTCTTATTCAATTATGGGATGTATTTCAATAGGAGCACTTAATGAACTAAAGAGACATTTTAAGACTTTGAGGGGTCAGAGCTAAATGTAGGAAACGCTTCACTCCTTGGATAAAATGGAAATCTAGAAACAATTATTCAAACATATACATGTGTGTATATTAAGTATACTCAGATATTTGATGTTACTTTTACAGTAAATACAAGTCAAAGTCTTGAATCTTCAATTAAGTAAAATCACAAATCTTTTTTTATACCATCTCTCTGTCTTCGTCCTGCTTTCATTTCAAATGACTGATTTATAGTTTTTGCATGATTAAGGTTACTCTTATCCTAATTTAAAACAGCATCTTCTCTTAATTATTGTTCTGAAGTAGATAGAGCGAGAAATCTGCCCGGTTACTTTAAACCATAAAAAAGTAAGGTATAATGACCAAACAGTGAATGCTGATACTACTAATGAATTCCACGACTTACCTTTTAATACATCAGGTCAGGGGCGTCGCCTGTGTCCCATGACAAGTCATCACATTGGGCGCCGCAGCCTCAGCCAGCCTCCACCCGACCACGCCTTCTTCAGTACTTTCTGATACAATGCTTTTGAAAAGGATACAATGTCTTTTATTTCAATGATCGACATTGAAAAGTATGTAAAACATGTCTATTTTAAATGTAGAAACTTCAAGTAAACTTCTGAACTTGCACAAACTTGTATGAAATGTTGCCGATACATTTCTGACAGAATCATGCCTTCATATTTTGATTGGAAAGCTGTTTTCACACAAGCACTCGAGAAAATTTCAGGACACCCTCCCCCTGAAATCTTCCTGATTTGCTTATTCCCACAAGCCCTCATGGGAGATTTACCTCGTCTCACAGAACGAGTGAGGGGTGAGGGGGTGAGGGGATCTCAGGAGGGAAGACATGGGGAGCTTCTCATTACATTCATTTGCACATCCTCGCCTCCTCTCTCCTCAAAATAGTTCCCTATGTCGAAATATAGCCAAATGATATACATTACATTTATACAGGACATTTTAATTTCTAAGTGTTGTGGCATCACATACAGATTCAGTTTATTGTTTTTATTTTAACCATTACCTGCACAAAGACCCCACCTGTCGTGTGCCAGTTAAGAGTATAGAAATGTCATCAATCCCACCCGCTCTTTCATGGTGAGTTTTTCTGACATTCACCATCTGCGCTCACACCGACTGCATGGGAAAATTCAGTTCTCAGGAGTTTTTGTGCATGTGTGAAATAACCAAACGATTTTTTAAATCCTGATTATCTTGTTTGTCTGTCTTTAAAATTCCTGTTTCTTGTTCAGATGTATCTGATTTTTTAAGCCTGTTTTACAGATCTCCTTTTGTGCAACACTGTGGTTGTTGTTTTTAAAAAAAGTCTCTGCTTGACGGCAGCATGCGGCGAGATGACTTGGATTGGTGGAATACGGTACAGATGTCCTGCAGTAAATCTTCATTATAGGGATCAGTGATGTATAACATATATTCAAGACGGTGACAAATCTGTAGTGAAGCATGTCCTCCTCGCTTCTTCTCCTGATCGCTCTCTCGCTCTCAGCTGTTTGTGTGTGTGTGCATGTGTGTGTGTGTGTGTGTGTGTGTGTGTGTGTGTGTCTACCCCTCTTCCTAACACAAACACTCACTCAACCTATCACACAATTGCAAACCCTCTCCACAGACGGTGCATTCCAGGAAACTTCATTCACTGCAGATATTGTCTTTTGGGGTTAAGGGTCGATTGTAATTTATTTTTTTTTAAAACAAAAGGAGGAGCCAGATGCATAAAATCAGACATGTGGAGGAGGAGGAAGAGGAGGAGGAGGAGGAGGAGAGCAGAGATCAGACACTGATGGTGGAGTATCACAGATGAAGGGAGGGAGGAGAGGAAGCAGAGGGGGGTGGAGATGGAGGGTGACCCTGATCTCCTGCAATACAACCACAGGCTGCAGGGCAGGGAGCCTGTTGAGACACAGCTTAACCTGACCATCCCTCCTCACACACACACACACACACACACACACACACACGCACACGCACACGCACACGCACACGCACACGCACACGCACACGCACACACACACACACACACACACACAAATGATGCCTCAGATCACTCCTAAAGCTCAGGTCAAACTACAGGGTTGTTTAACTTCTGTTTAGGGGGGTAGTCGACTGAGTTTTTTCTATTGTTGTAGTCAAGTCCACACTAACCTGAGACCCGAAATGAGACCAAGACATTTAGGGGTCGAGACCGAGACGAGACTAAGACCAAGACAGGGTGAGCCTTAGATGAGACCAAGAACATATACATCAATGAAAAAATCTTCATCTTGTGCGGCAGGTATGTCACTCACTTAGACCGTAACACCAGGAAGGTGGTGTGGCTGTAAATGTGCAGGTGAGCCGTGCAAATGCATCAGGAAATATTCAGGAAGATTTACTGAGTGAGTGGGGGTGTTCATGTGTAGATCAAGCAACCAGTGAGTGAGTGAGACCACTCCAAAAAAAAAAACCTGCCCTCCTGTATGTTTTTTAAATTTTTTCTATGTGTGGATTCTCTCTGTGTACTCCGGCTTCCTCCCTCAGTCCAAAGACATTCTCATTAGGTTAACTGGGACTCTAAATTGGTGAGTGTGTCTGGTTGTCTGTCTCTATATGTCAGCCCTGTGATTGACTGGTGAACAGTCCAGGGTATAACCCCGCCTCTCACCCAATGACAGCTGGGGTCGACTCCATCAGTATATACAGATAACAATATGGATGGTAGTGTTGGACTCTTGGTCTGCTGCGTCCTTCTTACATCATATCCTGCCTCCTGACACCCCGACATCTGACAGTGAAATTCCCTGTAAGGTTTGTGAACAACTCAGGAAGATTTCAGTTTTCTCCCTCAAAGACCAATGTCATATTTATGTTAAAGGAAAATGCCAAAAAACAAAACATGAAAGAGGAAGGAGGGATAATGTCTTTTGCAGACTTTTACAAACCTGCATTAGAAGTTGTAAAGTAAATTAAGAATGCAGGAACTAAAGTAATAAAGTAACAACATGGGACAAAAGGAGGACAATATTAAATAAATACAAACTTAAAAATGCACAAAAAGAGTTTTTTCTTTCAAGTTTCATTGAACAAATTCGACATTCACTAATTTCAGGGCACATTTGACATCCTGTAAAAAAAAAAAAAATCCTGAAGGTCCAAAAGATCCACATTGTGAAAACGCTGGGTAATATGAGTATTTACTGTAGCCCACATAGTCTAACCCTGCAGAGGTTTTGTTTGTTTGAAAAATGAAAATAAAAGCAACTGCTGACTGATGACAGGATTATTTATGACACACAGTCACAGTAGAGATGATGCATTATTGAGCGTCATGTTTTTACAAGTGGAAGTCGTCCTTCTGTAGTGAAAATGTGTTCAACCCTCGAGGCAACATGAACAAAGATCTTTTATTTTACGAGCTCAGGAAGTGACTGACATTAGCATTGTTAATGTAGACAGGTGCAACTCGACAAACTTGATTTCTCACAAGCTGAGGAGTGAGAAAATCTCTTCAACCACAGCTAGATTTACCGTACTCCACCTATAGCAAAACATACACATATGTGACGTTTATTCATAAGTGTATTAAATATTTAAATGTTAAAGCTATAACTCTGACTCATAGATTCAACGATTAGAGACTGTAACGCTCACAGTTTGTGTTAAACTATTGATGATGCATTTTATTTTCTCCATCCACATGACACTAGTCCTCAGATTTCACAGCTGCACCCCAGACTTAAGAAGATCTGTAGCACAAAGAAAGACCAGAAGTGATGACAGAACTGGAAGTTTAAATCTTTTTTTTTTTTTTCAGGGAGTTTTATCGTCTTCAGAGAGTCAGGTTTAAAATTTTTTTAGAAAACCAGTTTAAAGCAGTGACTGCTATTACGTCTTAGAAATGTTGGACGTTGGACTCGGTAGCCGGATGACTGTACATGAGGCGCTCAAACCAGAGGCTGTAATCCTCAAAGAGGGCGGCCCAGGTTTGAATCCCACCTGTGGCTACTTTCCCGCATGCCATTCCCCTCTTTCTCTCTCTTCCTGATTTCTGACCTCATCCACTGTCCTGCATCTCCAATTAAGTCCAAAAAGCCCCAAAATAAGTAAAAAATAACTGTTTTTGTAAGTTTTCATGCTGAATTGATGTTTAATTATTTATTCTTCTGCTTGTTTGTCTTTTCAGTTTGCTGTCACACTGAAGTTGCCATTCTGTCCTATTTCTAGCAAATGTTCCAGATACATTTAAAAAGCATAGGAAGTTGTTAGCAAGTGAGAGTGCGACTGACAGTGGGATTAGAGTGTGTAGATATTTATTGATGTCTATGGTGAGAGGTGAAAATATGTATATCTGCCAAAGGGGGGGGGAAGCAGAAGAAGTTTGGGAACCAATGTCTACACTAAGGATGCAATATTGGAGAGGTAAGTAAAGACCATTC